GGACAACCCACCAATATTGATATTTATGGAGAATACTCCACTTGCCTCGATAATTCATAATTCAAACTTGTGACTCGATTAATTGCTGTAACCTCGCAAAATTTTAGACAAAAAAAATATCGTGTCGAAAAATGTTATCAAATATTTCTTCTTTAACACGTTTAGATCCAGTGAGCATTCAACTGCTCTTTCATCACTAGACTTGGCGCGAAAATATTTTAGGACAATGGCTGCTTTTCATTAAACAGCTTTAAAAAAGAAAGAAAAAAAAGTACAACTTCGTCTAGTGAAGATTTGTCCTAAACTATGCTGAATTCACGCCTCGCTCAAGGACAGCAGCTCAAAGCCGGCGGAAAACGTCATAACAATGTCTTTGTTCCCGCGCTACAATTTACATAAACAGATCGTTCGCTTAAGAGGGAAAAAAAAAGGAAAAGAAAGAAAATAAATTGTAATAATTCTACGAAACAATCGTTTTTTTTTTAAAGGGGGGGGGGGACGCAAGGGTGCTTCCCTCATCTAGAAGCGTGTAGGAGTGTTCTCCCTTGTCTGGGACCGTACGTGGGGGTGGGGGTGCGGAAAGCTCATCTTGATGTAAACCTATAACTATGATATGAAATAAAAAGGGAATCAAATATTTATTTAACAATTACTGATTTTTTTTTTTAAACAAAAGTATGGTCGACGAGATTGTGTTTAAAATGTGGGCGCAAAATAATAAAAAGATGAGAGAACCACTGGTTTAATCTGAGCATGTTAAGCGTTGTCTAACATCAGTCATTGTTTCCCCAGAGTTCTATCAAGCACACGTGAAATCCCGGAGTACTTGACCTCTTCTAGCGCCTTGTTGCCCCATTCTTGGAATATCGCATGCGCATTTCCTGCCAGCTAAACACGGCCACTTGTTCTCTATCTCCCTCTCTCTTTCTCATTGTTACTATGTTTGGACTCAAACTCTCACTATTTTTAGAGCTTTTTAGTAATCGTGTTTAAATGTGCGACATTTCGAAGAAGTTGTTGGGAGTACTAAATTAGCGAGCTATTTCAGGAAAGTTGCACACCGGTGCGATGTTGTCATGACCAATCTTGTCAGCAACTTAAATTTTAGTACTTGGCACTTGAATGGTGACGGTTTAAAATCCTTAATGAACTTAGGGCAGCTTTTATTTGGGCCTTTAAACTTGTTCAGCATTTTTAAAGTTTTTTTTATAATTTTTTTAAACTGACACTTGTTTTTAATGGCATTGTTAAAAAGCTCGGGCACAATATTTTTTGAGTATAATTACTAATTAAATGGTTAATTTTTATTGCATATTTAGATCTTTTTTTTATTTTCTGGAGGATGGGGGGGGGGGGGGGGGGTTTATTTTTTTTT